AAGGTGCAGCTATACTTTTCCCCTAGACATCCTCTTCTTTCTCAGGGTGCTATCTTAGTTGGAGTCACCATTTTTTTTAAGGATCACATAACTTCACTTTCTTTCTTTCTTTCTTTCTTTCTTTCTTTCTTTCTTTCTTTCTTTTTCTTTCTTTCTTTTTTTTTTCGGAACTGGGGATGGAACTCAGGCCCTTGCACTTGCCAGGGAAGCGCTTATCCTCTGAGCCATCTCTCCAGCCCCTGGAGTCACCATTTTGTCTCATCAGGTGACTGGCCACTATCACATTTTTGATCAGCCACCACTGTTTGTTTGCCATTTTTTAAACTAGCCGCATAGAAAAATCTCATCCTTGTAGATAGGAGCTAAGGCTCCAATTTCAAAAAACATGTGAGCTTCCTCCCTATTTTCTTTTGAATTGGGATAGATCCATTCTTTGTTTCTTCTTTTAAAAAATCAGGTAATTTAGACATATGCTTGGTGGCCTGAGCAGGAAAAAAGAATGGCTAGTAAAGCTCAACTCAAGTGACTGTAAGTCAAAATTAAAGCAATATTTGTTCTTAAAAACTTATCAAGGTTAAAAAACGAGATTTTCATCTTTATTACCTTAAACAAAGTTCAGAAGTTTTTACTCTCAGGGTAAATGTAAGGTATTCTTTCTTAAATGGCTCCACTCTGTTTAAGTAGATCCATCAAGTGGTTCAGTATAGCTGAAGGGCTCTATCCCAGTCTTATGAGAGTTTCAGAGGAATTGATAGAGACATCAAATGGCTCAATACTTCCTCCCAAATGAGTTAGTGGTCTCAGTGTGGAGACAAAAAACGCTCAGTAGGGCTTTCTTCTATACTTCTATGAAAGATGTTAGTGTCATTCTAGCTCCAGAGACATCTACCTCGCGAGTGCTTGAGTCTCACAAGGGATGTTTTGTGGTCTCAAATTTGGCCTCTGCCTTCTGCACAGGATATATTATTATACTATTTTTTCATTTAAATTTTTAAATTAAAACAGAAGATGGATTAAGATTCCCTATGTTAGGGCTGGCCAGATAGCTCAGCAGACTAAAGTGCCTGCTTAAGCAGGCTCAGAGATTGGGGGCTGGATCCCCAGCCTGCCCTGCCAGTCCCACCCCTGGAGCACACTGAGGTGGTGATTGAGACTGGGCGTGGTGGTCACCCCTGTAATCCCAGAGCTTGGCATGCTGAAAACAGAAGGATCACTAGGAGTCTGATCTGTACAGTGAGATCCTGTAGACCCTATTACTAAATACATAAAAAAAGGTTCCCTATGTTTGGGATTTTGTGACCCTTTATATAAGTAAAAGCCCCAAAACTACAACATTCTGAGTAGCCCAGGAAGCAAGAGATGTAGTTTATGATCCTGTCCTGGGATTCCCTATATGTCTCTCAGGAGGATATGCTCTCTTATCTGTTTAATGAAGAAAACCACACTGGAAAGTCTCCTTGACCTCAACATTATAATCCTTGGGCCAGTAAATCAGTTCCATACCCTTCAAGTGACTTAGAAATTCCACTAGAATCTAGAATCTAGTGCCCAACAGGAAGCCAACATTCTTTGGCCCTTTTATCATGTTTCTCAGACAGCCTTAAGTTCCACTGGGTGCACACAGACAACTTTAAGCCCCGAGAATATACTCAGAGTGAGACTTCTTCTAACTCACAACTTGCCCTTTTCCTGAGAGAGATCTCAGGAGCAGAGGATGCCATCACATCTGGATACCTTTTTTCAGTTGCAGATATCCAGCAATGCAAAAAATGGCTAGACTTGCTTTCAGGAGATCCAAGTAAGTTTGCAGATGGATTTCAAACTCTGACTCTCTCTTTTGACTTATCATAGAAATATGTTCAATTCATCTTGCCAACTTGCTGTACCCCAGATGAAAGTCAAAGAATCCTACAAGAGGACAAGAACTATTCAAATCAGCTATATGCTTTAAGGAAAGGAAACCACCATGAAGAGGCTATTCTCCCTTCAATAGAACCAAAAAGCGACTATAATACTACCCTAAAACTAAAAATATCTGATATGATAGCTACTCTTACTATGGGAATGAAAAGGTACATTAAGAAATGTGTTAATTGTGATAAGGTGAGTGGATTCATACAGGGCAACAAGGAATACCTAGCTGTCTTCCACAGCTGATTAGTTGAAGTGTTTTGGAAATATACAAACATAGATCTATCTTCCAGGGGATGGAAGGAAGAGGGAGGGAAATAAGAGGGGGAGAGAGAAAGAGGGAGGGAGGGAGGGAGAGGGAGAGGGAGAGAAAGAGAGAGAGAGAGAGAGAGAGAGAGAGAGAGAGAATGGTGCAATATAATTTCATTTGTAAATTGAAATCACCTGTAGATATTTGGCATAAATCACAGAAACTTCAGATGTGACTCCAGACACCTATGACTCAATTACTGGACATAGCCTTTTCTGTGTTCAAAAGGGTCCAGGGAAGAGTCAAAAGAGAAAATCTACAATTACAGAGGTTGAAATTAATGATGCTTTGATCTCACCCAAGTTATCTAAGGGAAAAATCCATAGATCACTGAAGGGTACCTGTTTCAAGTGCAAGATGACTGGACATTGGGCATGCACTTATACGAGGCCACTGTTTGGGCCCTGCTCCAAATTTGAGACAGCCAATGTGCCTGACTCACGGCACTGTAGATTTGACTGTCCCACTCCCATAGTGGAGGAAGGCTACCCAAAACCCTTGTTTCGCACTCTGAAGATTGATGCAGCTCTAAGGTACCTACAATGTCCCTGTTCACAGATACAATTATTTCCTGTGAGAAATTCTGGAGAAGCTTAGATGCCATGGGTGAACTCATTTGATTACTTACCAACACAAGGGCAGCTCTTTCAGTTTTGGCTTCCTTTTCTGGAAAACTCTGCTCTAGATCTATACCATAGTGGACGCTGAGGGAGTCCCTAATCAAAGACTCTTTTTCCTGTTCTGATATGTCATTTCACTCAGTGTTAGATTTCAAAGACACTTTCTTTTCAGTTCTCATCCATTCAGATTCCCAGGTTCTATTTGCTTTTGAATAGG